TACCTCCTAACCTACAACCCTAATACTCGACCTCCACATCTTCTTATCAAGTGTCATGTCCTCGGAAATCTGGAGCCTCGCCATATCCTGCTTGATCACCTCTCCCCAATACTTCTTAGGCCGCCCTCTACCTCTTCTCGTGCCATCCACAACCAGCTGCTCACACCTCCGTACCGGAGCATCTGGGCTTCTCCTCTGAACATGTCCGAACCATCTAAGTTTCTCTTCCCGCATCTTGTCATCAATGGGAGCCACATGCACCTTCTCCCGGATAACATCATTCCTAATCTTATCTATCCTAGTGTGCCCGCACATCCACCGCAACATCCTCATTTCTGCTACTTTCATCTTCTGGATATGTGAGTTCTTAACGGGCCAACACTCAGCCCCATACATCATGGCCGGTCTAACCACCGCTTTATAAAACTTATCTTTGAGTATCGGTGGCACTCTTTTGTCACACAGGACTCTAGATGCTAACCTCCACTTCATCCATGCTACCCCAATACGANCATGTCCTTAATCGCCATAATGTAGGGAACCGACACACCTTTTGCCTTCAGGCATCTCCAGAGAATTTCTCTAGGAACCTTGTTATACGCTTTCTCTAGGTCAATAAACACCATGTGCAGATATTCTCTAGGTCAATAAACTCCTTTAATTAACATAGCCCTAAAACCAAAAGGATACTCAATATTTGAAGTAAATATCATGTGAATTACGTTCAAAAACCATTTTAAATTTCAAACTTTGACATAAGGAATATGGTTTTAAGTTTGTAGTTCAGATTAATGACTTGTTTTCAAATTTGAATTCTAACTTCCTATTTGGGATCACTATCATATACTCTCTCCATTCAAAAAAGAGTGAACTTATTTCTTTTTTAGTCCGTTTCAAATAGAATATGAACCTTTTCTAAATTTGAAAACAATGTAACTTTAAACTTCCCATTTTACCCTTAATGGGATAATTTATAGCCACACAAATATCTAATGATTGTTTTAGACCACAAGTTTCAAAAGACTTTCATTCTTTCTTAAACTTCGTGCTCAGTCAAATAGGTTCAACTGAGGGAGTATAGTAATAACCTACCCTTAAAAATTAATCGATTTGCTTTTTGTATTATTGCTTAGTGTTGTCTTCTTTAAGACAATGCTCGTTGCTTTGAAGTGCATGCCATAGCAACAGGATGCCTACATTTAAGCTATTAATGAGTGAAAAGGCCAACTTTGGCTTCATTTAGCTTCCAAGGTTTAAGCTGCCTCAAGTAGGCCTTTAATAACACTAATATTTTTTTGATAACCGAGAAATATGTTGAGGACCAACGGAGCCAGGTTCTAAACTCAGATGATAAATGGGCTCACCCCTCTATCCTTCTCCACTTTCTAAACTCGGATGATAATGGGCTTGCCCCTCTACCCTTCTCCACTTAAATACCACATGTTTGTGTGCAGCAGGGTTCAAACCCTTGATGTGCGATTAACTCATACATCACATGTTGCGCTCTCACCACTATACCAAAATCATGGGGGTTTTGGTTTATAACACTAATAATTTTAGTGTTCTATTTGTGCTGTGTCACACTAGAATTTCAGAATCTTTTTGCCCCTATCTCTATTAGATCGCCCAACATCATAATCGATGCAAACGCCAGTAATCTATCTCATAAGTCAACTCGTTTTATTTTTTATTTCTCACGTCAAATTGGTTTCAGGATCTCAAGGGTACTCTGTGGAACCTTAACAACAACTATAAAAATCTGATAGAGAAACTACTATTATAAAAATTTAGATGTGCGTATGTGGTGGCATACGCACATTCTAATCAAAAGAATGCATCTCAGAATACAACTGCCTGAAGCAAACAAAACAGTTGGGTCAAGCTGGCTAGAAGGGGAAAAAAAGCAATATTTGCTTATATGAAAGCAAAAGGAGATTATCTAACAATACGAAATAAGGAATGGGCAGAAGATAGGATAATTAAAGCTAAAATATATTAAACATACCTCAGCATTACTTCCAGTGCAGGTGATACATTCTGCCAAACTCTCCAAGATCACACTGACTACGGGAAAGGTTGAAGTATCCTTGGAATTGGTATCAACCATGCCACCCCCATCTCCCTCCACGAGACAGCTGCAGAATGAGGCCATTACTCTTGGGCCTTTATTTATTGAATAGTATAGTCAGGAAAACCATTACACAAAGCAAAAACAAACTGATAGTGATTTGGAGATGGATTTGATCTCAGCAATATCCTTTACATCTTCAAAATATATCGTACTGTAGACAGCAATCTACCACAACTACCACTGTGGTGCATGGTCATACAATAAAATTTAATTTGGTATTCTTCCTTCCATAATAAACTTGGAGAAGGTGCATGATTTTTTAACTTAAACATAAAAAATGTATTGGTATTTTTGTCCATAAGATGGTATAGGCACTCCTGGAAGAGAAAAAATTATATAAATAACAAGACGTGGTAGCCAAGCAGTAAAAGCTACTTTTTACACATAGAGGTACAGTAAGCTAGTCTAAGAAGAATTTCCAGAAGTCAGATAACATCAAATTGATATATAATCATGTGACCCAACACGTGACCAAACAGATATGTCCACTCACAATTTAGTAGCATATGAAGAAGATGCACAGCTTTCTTCTTTACATGCACGTGAGCTCCCTTCTTCAATAGTTTTGAAATACTTTGGAACGGTATATCTGTCCCATACCTATATAAAGGAGGATATTGATTAAGCATATTACAGAGCTCCAAAAATATGCCTAAATTAATGAGAAAGCGGTGTTGAACTTACTTTTCCCTCTCCAAGTACGCATTACTTCTTGCAACAATGAGATTCATGACTGAAACTGCCTGGAGTCTTACATGTTCTACCTCATGAATCATGATAATTTCGCACATTAATTCAAAAAGAGGAAAATAGTTGAAATGAGAAGATATCAAACAGCTAGATCCACAATTGGTGAATCCTATCCTGGCATAAGTATCAACAGTATCCAATCTCGGGCCATCAGCATGATCTTGATCAAATATTTTCTCATCATGGACATGGGGCAGTCCTCTAGTTCCAGGATATCCATATTCGTACAGATCTGACGCATTATCCCAACAAGAAGGTCCCTCCATCACAATGTTGTCCCTGGTACAGTACACTGGAAAGATCAAATCAAAGCATATAAGGAAAATTTCTGGATCAGAAGATAGGGACCATTTTTTCTCCTTTTCCTTTTCTTTATTTTCTTTCTGGTTACAGAAGCAAGGGTTTTAACCCAACAAGGGATTTATCAGCTAGCACTAGCAAGAGAATAACAAAATGCCTTAAGAAGATTCATCGTGAAATTAGAAGGAACAGAAGACTGAAGAGAATGGTTTGCATGATAGTCAGTAGCTTCTAACTCTTGTTTCCCATTTTTTCTTGAACTTCCTCATGAATCCAGACAAATGCAAGCTTCTTGCACGAGCGGTATAGTTTAACAGTTGCCAAACGCCCAAACCCAGGTTAAATCAAATGTTTCTTTTATCTTATTTTGATCGTTAAATCAAATGATTCTTCTGCAGAGATGCTAAAAGAACCCACGATAATAGCTCAAAAACAGAATGGAGGCAGCAGAGCATGCATTTAAGAGCGAATACATACCTTTTACCAAATTTTCTTTCCATACTGAAAGTGAAATTCAAAACCTCTAGCAGTATATGCAAAGACCTATGAATTATAGCAACCTGCATGGGATGAATAATGTTATGAAGCTATTGACAATTAACTTCTATAGAAGGATATAAAATTGAAGGCTTCACGAATTCCCTTTTACTTCAACATAACATGCAGTACTAATTCAAAAGAATTATTAAAAATAAAATAAAATATATTCTTTTAGTACTTTTATTAAGGGAAAACGTTGGTAATTAATGCATACTTATATTTATATATTTCACTTATTCTTAGAGTTTTTGCTGTTTGCATAGTTCTACGATCCTTGGCCAATAACTCACCTCGCATCCTTGTGATTTCTATGGTAGTTCTTGCTTGCCACAATTCACTTGTTATCTGGGAATTTGGGTGATTTTGGGAAGGGCTTGAACCTCGATTCTTGATCATCACTGTTATTTAACTTATATATGGGTGGGGTGAGAATCGTCATGGTGGGTTGGACCTCATGAGTGAATCAAAAATTGGATTTACGTTGGATCTTACTCAAATCACCATATCTATCCTCCTGAGGGGGAGTTTGGTGAGGATTCTGCCATAGATGTTCAGTTGCATATAGAAAAGGGGTATAAAAAACATTAGGATCTAAGTGGTAGAACAAAGAAGGTAAAATCCCATGGAGCAGCCTGTCCAGTGATGCAAAACCGCTGTAAGTGTGAAAGGCACATTTCCATGATGAAACATGGGTCCAACAAGGATGTTCATATCTTTCCACGTGAAAGAGGAAAGGGGAGTAGGCATAATACTGGAAAGTACGGACTCGGGGTTTATCCCTCAATCAAAGACTACTTGAAAGTTACAATAGATTCCACTCTCAGTTAGTAAGCTAAGGATCAGATCACTTGCTATTAAGATTTTCAGAAATAATCACAAAACTCTCACCAATTAAGTAAGCTTTTTCATTTTTAAGTCATAAGGTGACTGTATAAATTACTTAATGATTCTCAAAATCATTATGAAACTTTTGGCCTAAATCAGTAATTCCTAAATCCAAAATTTCATGACAGTGCTTAGTAAGATGCCAGCTTTCTCAAATTTCTCCTTTTCTTTCAAGATATATGAGATGGCAACAGCTTCACAGACCTGTGAATTACTCAACAAGTTTTATCATGTGTATTGCAACCACTATTATTAATCAAGACACTTAACTGAGAGAAATGGCAATTGCCATAAAAAAGTGTTTGATGAAGTACTGCCAAAAGTTTTACATGTTTAGAAATGTAAATTCCCACATTAGCAACTAAAACAGAAGGAAAAATGACAAATATATAAGCTTACAATCTCACATTTTTAAGTCTGCAAAGACCAACCAATGCTTCTAACAAATCTTCCAATCTCACCATTTCATCATTAATCTACAAGACACAAATAAAGCTACAAATAATGAGAGTTCAGCCCTACTAAGACAATAAGGTAAGTAAGTCATGCAGAGTATTTGCATAATAAGTAACATGGTGTAGATTGAGTGTAGGAAAAGGCTTATCTCAGTTTATTGTAATTTCTTGGAGTTTATGCAAACTTTGCAAAAAGTAGAACATAATGGAAGCAAAAGATTCATATAGGCAATACTAACTAGTGTGGATTAAGGCATAGTCAGGTTGGTACGCTGTTAGTCCAGCGTTTACTAAGAGTCCTTCTAGCTGTTTATAGATTTGTATGTCAGTGAGGGGAAGCTTGAATAGTCACTAATCTAGAACTGGTGAATATGACTTGACAGCTCATCCAGGTCCAATTTACTGAACTTCATATTTCAAATATAAACATTTTAACTCATTTAGTCGCTTATATTTTAGCTTTATTATATTAGAGAAACACTTGATAGAAAGCATTCTTAATAATTACTACTATATTAGAAACACTTGCTAGCTAATGAAGTGATTGATTCGAGAAGAAAGTGAGCGAACCTAGGATTTGTGCAAATTGGATCTTGAGAAGGCCTATGATCATGTTAATTGGGAGTTCCTTGATTTCATTATGTTGAAGATGGGATTTGGTGCAAGATGGCGGAAATGGATCAAGTTTTTCATATCAAGTCATCAACCGCCAGATTTTTTGTCCTTGTGAGTGGCAATTCATGTGGTTTCTTCAGTAGCTCAAGAGGAACGAGACAGGGCAACCCGCTATCTCCTATGTTGCTAATTTAGTGATGGAAGAGTTGAGTAGGATGAGTGGTGACCGGGGATTACTTAAGGGGATTTTTCGCAGTGATTGGCGGACAAGGTACTGTGAGGGTGTCTCATCTTTTGTTGCGGCTAAAACTTTAGTGTTTTGTGATGCTGACAACGCCCAATTGTCTTACTTTACACAAGTGTTGACATGTGTGAGAATACACGGGAGNTCCTTTTTAAATCTTTTGAGTAATTACCAAACTCACTTTTGAGAATTTGGGTATTATTTTTTTTTTATTTGCACCGGGTGTCCAAGTCTCTTTGAGACCCGACTAATCCCGGGGGTGCACAGGCCCTCGGCAAGGAGTTTCCCGCAAGTGCACCACGGTTAATTCAGGTTTTACCCAGTCCGATGGCCTTCAAAAATTGTTTGCACCCACTGGGTTTCGAACTTGAGACCTTGAAAGGGAGCAAACCCCAAGGCTCAAGTCAATTGCCACCAGGCCAACCCCTGAGGGTTATAGTGAGCCCTATATATAATACATATTCTACTCCTACTACATATGGGACTAGGACATATTCTACTTTTATTACTTATAGGACTAAGACATATTCTACTCCTACTACATATGGGACTAGGACTAATTACACAGAACTATCTAACAACATGGCTGCCTAAAGGTCAACCTCAGAAAGTTCGAGATTATCCATGTCGGCAAGATGGAGAATATAAAGGCTCTAGCACAAGTGTGAATTTGCAAAATTGCGGCTCTTCCTACAACTTATATGGGTCTACCGCTAGGAGCATCTAATAATGACCAAGTATCTTGGAACTCGGTGACAGAGAGGGTAGAAAAGAGGCTCGCAGATTGGCAAAAGAGGTACTTATCCAAAAGGGGAAAGGAAATGTTAATTAAGAGTACAATATCAAGCATTCCCACATGTTTCATGTCTTTGCTACATGCTCCAATTAGCGTTACAGGGAAGTTGGAAAAACTTCAAGGGGACTCTCTATGGGATGGTCCAAGCGGAGAGAGGAAGTTTCAATTAGGTTAATTGGGAGACTATCAACAACAACGACGACAAACCCAGTCTAATCCCACAAGTGGGGTCTGGGGAGGGTAGAGTGTATGCATACCTTACTCCTACCTAGTGAAGATAGAGAGACTGTTTTCGATAGACCATCGACTCAAAGACAGAAGGAAAAAAAATAGTAATAATAAACGGTAACAACAAGATAAGATGATAAGATAACCGAAACTAAAGAAACAACATGTAATAACAAATTTCTAAGAATAGGAAAACAAAAACAATACTAATACTACTGGTATGGTAAAAAGCTATGCTTGGTTATTTACTACCCTTCTACCTTAATTCTTGACCTCCACACCCTCCAATCCAGGGTCATGTCCTCAATAAGCTGAAGTTGCGCCATATCCTGCCTAATCACCTCTCCCCAATACGTATTTGGCCTACCTCTACCTCTACTTCTCCTCAGGCCCATCATGGCCAATCTCTCACACCTTCTCACTGGGGCATCTGCACATCTCCTCCTCACATGCCCTTTCCATCTCAGCCTCGCTTCCCGCATCTTGTCCACCACGGATGCCACTCCCAACTTGTCCCGAATATCTTCATTCTTAATCTTGTCTCTCCTGGTATGCCCACACATCCATCTCAACATTCTCATTTTTGCTACTCACATCTTCTAGAAGTGAGAGTTTTTGACTGGCCAACACTCCGCCCCATACAACATTGTCGGTCTAATCACCACTCTGTAGAACTTACAAGTCTAGGCGGCACATTCTTGTCACACAAAACACCAGATGCAAGCCTCCATTACATCTATTCCGCACCAATACGATGTGTGTCATCATCATCAATCTCCCCAATACCTTGAATTACTAACACCAGATACTTGAAACTTCCTCTCGTTGGGATGACTTGTGTATCAAGCCCAGTGTTGTAAATAGCGAGCGCTACGTTGCTAATAGCGTGTGGCGAAGCGGCGCGAGGCAGTAGCGCTATTTTGGTCTGTTGCGGTGCGATTCTGAAAAAGCGTACACCCCTGCCTGTGTAGCGAGAGGCGCTGCGAGGCGAGAGGCATAGCGTAGCAACGCTATTTGGAGAAAAAGAAGAAAAAGGCAGCGACAGTGTAAAATACAAATATTAGGGCTTGGGTTTTAACTTCTTCTCCTTCAGCGAATACAACTAAGCAACTTCAAAAATTAGGGCTTGGGATTCATCTTCTCCATAATCAAACATCAGCACAGTAAACCAGGTATGTTACTTTCTTTTCTTTTCTTCTTCTTCTTTTTTCCTTCGACAGTCGACACTTCGATTCGACCATTGTTGTCATCTTCTTTTTTCTTTTTCTTTTTCTTCTTCTTTCTTCTTTTCAATGATCAACTCCTTCTTTCTTTCTTCCTTTTTCTTCTTCTTCTTCTTCTTCTTCTTGTCTTATTTTTTGTGCTCTGTTTTTCGAGCAGAGGCAGAGCAGAGCAGGGGCTTTTTCTTTCTTTCTTCCCTTCCTCTTTCTTCTTCCCTTATTTTTTTTTTGGGTCTGTTTTTCGACAGCAGAGGCAGTAGCAGTAGTCTCTTTTTAGGCTCTGTTTTTTTTGCCATGTTTTTTCAATTATAAACTTATAGTCTTATAGAGTAAAATTAATTGCATATTGATTTGATGATTTTTTTTCTATAAAACAGCATTGAAATGGCGTCATCCGATAGTAATAAACGAAATGATATAGCTTGGAATTATGCTATAAAAGGCTCATCAAGATCCGCAATTAAATGTGTATTTTGTGAAAAAACATATCATGGTGGAATAACTCGTCACAAGCAACATTTGATAGGTGGATTTAAAAATGTAGTATAATGTCCTCTTTGTCCGCCCGAGGTTAGGGAGTAAGTAAAAGCATTTGTTGATAAGAAAAATGTGACAAAAACTCAAATGGATTATAAAGCATCGGTGAATCTAATTGATGAAGATGATGAAATGGATGAAGATGATCAAATGGGACCTCCCCCCAAAAAATAAAACTCAAAAGATATCTTCAAATAGTTCTAGTGGGTCATCCACGGCACGTACTGTGACAAAAGGTCCTCTCAATCTTTATTTCTCGGCAAAACAACAAGAAAAGGGAAAAGGTGATTCTAGTTCAGGTTTAGAAGCCAAGAAGATTTTGAGGGATCGCGCCGTAAGTGCCTTTGCAGCATTGATGTACGATGCAGGGCTTCCTTTCAACTGTGTTAACTACAAAACTTTTGATAAATTCATTGA